TTGCACCATTTTACACTCCCGCCAACAGTGAATAAGGGTTCCTGTTTCTCTGCAACCTCGTCAGCATTTGTTGTTTGCTGTTCTGTTAAATATTGCTATTCTTACTGGGGTGAGATGGTATCTCATAGTTGTTTTGAAAATGCGTACTTTGTATGGTCTTCCACGTGTATATCACATACTTTTTTTTAAAAGTTCATTAAAGAGGGATAGTGAAATCCATATTTAAGAGACATCCTTGAATTAAACAAGCAAACAAATAATACATGGTGTCTTGAAAATGGAATGACTAACGTGCAACTAATGAGCTCTGATAGTATAATCTGTAAGAGGTTGTGCTGTTTACTCAAAGGTGATGCTTTCTCTAGCAGTTCGAATCTACCAGTGGCTCTGTGAGAGAAAGATGAACAGCCTTCTTCCTTGTGATTTATAGCCACAGAATTCCAACTTGATGGCAAAGAGATTTTGAGTGAACATGAAACTGTTTATTTCTACCTTCTGGGAGCAAAGATTCATAAAGAACATCAAATAAAGAGATGTCTGGGCCCCATGTACTAACAGACCACATGAACCCCAACCTCTATGACTCTGAGACCAGACGAACTAGATGATGCCCAGGTACCACAGATGATTGCTCTGGAAGGGATCACAGTAGAGGGTTCTGGATAAAGGGGGAGAAAAATGTGGACCAGAACTCAAAATCATAAAACAGCCAGGCTTCCTAGTTTATAAAGGTTGGTATATCTCTTGATTATGGCTTTAGATACTTACCAAGCCTGGAATCAAACTTACCCCCAGGGACCAGCAAATTTCAGATAAGCAATGTTTTTAAATTCCATCGGGTCAAGTATGACTCATAGAGACCCTGTGAAAAACAAATCTGAACTCTGTCCTATCCTGGGCTGTCCCTTATCATCTCTGATACACTTTATCCCATTGCTATAGCCATTATATCAATCCATCTCATTGAGGGTATTCCTCTCTTTAGGTTTGCTGCCACCTTTGGTGTCTTTTTCCAAGGAATAGCCTCTCCTAACAATATGCTTAAACTATGTGAGACATAGCTTCAACATCCATGCCTCTAAGGAGAACTCTGGCTACTACCCTTTCCAAAACCTATTTCTTTGTACTTTTGGCAGTTCATGAGACATCCAGCTCTCTTCTCCAACCCAAAGGCATCGATTTATCTGTCATCCTTCTGCATTACCAGTTCTCAGATGCATAGCAGGTGACTGGGGAGATAATGGCTTGAATCAAGTTCACCTTAGACTTGAAGCTGACACCATTGCCTTTTAGTACTTTGGAGAGGTCCCTGGCAACAGTGTCATTTGTCTTTTGATTACTTGACTACTCGTTCCAAAAGTATTGATTGTGAATCCAAGGTGAAATCACTGGCAATTTCAATCTTTTCTCTAAATATTATAATGTTGTTTATTGGCCCAGTGGTGAGGATTTTTTATTTTCTTGATGTTGAGATGTAAACCACGTTGAAGGCTGTAGTCTTTGATCTTGCAATGAGTGCTTGAGGTCCTCCTCACTTTCAGCAAGCAAGGTTTTGTCATTTGCATAAAGCAAGTTGTTGATGAGTCTTCCTTCCATTCTGATGCCGCATTCTTCCTCATAAAGTCCAGCTTCTGGAAGCATAGAAATTAAACTGGTGTTGAGAAAGGATACAGTCCTGATGCATACCTTTTTGGATTTTAAAACATCTATTGTTCTCTTTAGAAAACAGAGTCTTAGTCCAGGTATAGGTTTCCTAACTCTTCTGGGATTCCCATTCTCTTCAATGTTAGCCATAGTTTATTATGATCAACACAGTCAAATGCCTTTGCGTAGTCAAGAAAACACAAGTAGACGTCCTTGTAGTACTCTCTACTTTCAGCTCAGATCTAGCTGATATCAGCAATAATATCTCTGGTGACACAACTTCTATTAAATCCAGGTTGAATCTTTGGCTGTTCTCTGTCAATGTCCTGTTCTAGATATTTTTGAGTAATCTTCAGCACAATTTTACTTGGTTGGGATATTAATGATTTTTTTATAATTTCAACATTCTGTTAGATCACCTTTCTTAAGAATGGGAACAAATATGGACCTCTGCCAATCTGTTGTTCAGGTAGCTGTCTTCCAGATTTCTTCATACATACTAGTGAGCACATCAAGGACTGCAACTGTTAGTTGAAACATGTCAATTGGTATCCCATTGATTCCTGAGCCTTTATTTTTTTGCCAATTCCCTCAGTGCAGCCTGAACTTCTTGTTTTATCATGGCTCTTGATCCTATGGTACTTCCTGAAGTATTTGAGTGTCAACCAATTCTTTCTGTGTATTCCAGATGACTCTGTGTATTCCAGCCATCTTCTTTTGATGGTTACTGGGTCATTCAAGATTTTGCCCATAGCATCTCTCAGTTTGCAACTTGAGGTCTGAATTTGTTTTTAATTTCTTTCAGCTTGGGAAATGCTGGAAGAGGTCTTCATTTTTTTTAATTCTCCAATTCTAGCTCTTTGCACATTCTAATATTTTAGTTTTTCTTCTAGATCCTCCCTTTCTTCTGTTCATCAACATTTTGTCCCTTTGTTTTGGCTTCTTGGTGCTCTAATGCATTTTCAGAGTATCTTCTGACATCCACTTTAGTATTTTCCATTTTTCTCTATGTAATGACATTTTGCTCTCTTTATGGATTATATCCTTCATGTCATCCCACATCTGGTCTTTGATTGTTGTCTCAAACCTATTCTTGATACGTACACGGCAGAGGAGATACCATGATCACAAAGGTGGTTTTCCCAGGCGAGGCTTAACCATTGCACTCCAGATGTGCTGACTCCTGCAATTTCCCCAAATGTGAGAAACTCTAATGCATAATTTGTAGTAGTAGGGGACTACACTTTCACTTTCCCTTGAAAAACAAAACAAAACCCAACAACAACAACAAAATCCATGCCTATTTTTGAGATGATTTTTAAGTTCAGGTGGAATAGATTCTGGGTCCTTTGGTTCTTGGAGTGTAGGAAGCCACTGACTGTGCAGGGTACAAACAAAACCAGAAAGGGTGGAAGTTAAGCATGTTGAAGGAGACAAATATGGCTTGGTGTTTAGACATGGGGATGTGAGAGTGGGGAAGCACAGAGTGATGGTCCAAGTGTGAATCTGAAGTAAACTAAACCTCTCGCTATTGTTCCTGTTCCAGCACCAGCCTATCACATGTCTCTATTTCTAAATCTCATTATATTTCTGCTTATCCCTGAGTAAAATTAGGGGATGTAAATTGAGTTTCCAAACCTACATTAAGGATAGATTCTAGACTATAACTTATCGCTAGTTCTGTTTTTCTTATGCCTTTCAATATTTATACTTTCACTCCACTTAGGAGTCCTTGTGCCACGTGGCTAAGTCCTTGACTAACTAACTGGTTGGCAGTTCTAACCTACCAGCTACTACTTCACGGGAGAAAAATGTGGCACCTTGCTGTCAAAATCACAATCTGGGGTGGGGTTGAAGGAATAGAATTCAGTGGGGCTGGAAAAGATGGGGTGATAATAAGCATGTTGTTTTTGTTGTGAACCGACCTGTATCTGACCCTCTAGCAGGATTTCAGAGGCAACTAATCGCACAGGAAGAGATTGCCCATCCTTCATAGATCAATGTTGTTGTTATGTGCCGTCGAGTCGCTTGCAACTCATAGTGACCCCATGTACTACAGCCCTAAACTCTGCTCTGTCCTGTCAATTCCATTGTCTCCGACACACCCATCCCGATTACCCCAGTCACCCAATCAATCCACCTCTTAGAGGGCCTTCCCCTCCTGTGCCTGCCTTCCACCCGCCCAAGCATAATGTTCCTCTCCAAGGACCGATCTGTCCTTACAACATGACCAAAGTACATCAGACGGAGCCTCAGAATCCTTGCCTCCAAGGAGCAGCCCAATTTAACCCTCTCCAGGATAAATCTGTTTGTTTTCCTAGCAGTCCAAGGTACCTTCAATACTCTACTCCAGCACTACAACTCAAAGGCATCAATTCTCCTTCTAATCCTCCTTAGTCATTGCCCAACTCTCTGATGCATAACAAGTGATTGCAAAGACCATGGCCTGTATCAGATGCACCTTAATCTCCAGAGAGACACCATTGCTCTTCAGTACTTTAGAAAGGTCCCTAACAGCAGACTTTCCCATGGCAATACGTCTTTTAATTTCCTGGCTACTGGTGCCAAGAGTGTTGATTGTGGAGCCAAGTAGACTAAAGCTGTGAACAATCTCAGTCTCTTTACCATCCATCCTGATGCTGCCAATTGGTCCAGTGGTGAAAATCTTTGTCTTCTTGATGTTGAGCCTCAATCCATATTGAAGGCTGCAGTCCTTGACCCTCAGCAGCAAGTGCTTCAGGTCCTCCTCAGTTTCAGCAAGCAGGGTAGTGTCATCTGCGAGCAGGCTGGCGGGAGGCTCCTCTGAGCCAGCAGTACATCCGGGGACCTCAGGGACCACTGGGAAGGAGTGCGGCCCAGGGGGTGTTTTAATGACCAAGCAAAAGAAATAGAAATTCTTCCAAAGTAAAAAGTAAAAATTGTTTAAGACACAATGTACATGCATGAACCATGCAAACTAATAAAAGTATGGTGGGTTTGGTTGGGTGTTTGTTTTTGTTTTTTGTTTTTTTTTAAAAAAAAAGCACAGCCTTGGAAACCCAGTGGGGCAGTTCTACTCTGTCCAGTACATTTGCTGTGAGTCAAAATCGACTTGATGGCTGCGGGTATCACTACACTTACTTTGATTGGCTCTAGATTCATAAAATACTCAAAGTGGTGGACCAAAAGATCAATGTGGCAGTTGTCAATTCGGATTGGATTGACTATATAAGGGGTGAGGGAGAGGAGCTGGTGTAGAAGATGCTGTTACGATGTACATAAAAAGTAAGCTTTTCTCGATGGTGTGGAATTTCCTTGTCTTGCTGCTAAGTCATTGTTTCAGAGACTTTAACTGTTAGTCATTCCTGATGCTTCAGATACGCTGCTGTACACACTGAGAAGACCTTACTTCCGCAAGATGGGAAGTGAGGACGCGCTGCTCTGCGTCTCGGAGAGCGTCCCAGAGCCCGAGGTGGAGTGGGTCTTCTGTGATTCCCAGGGTGAAAGGTACGCTGTGTGTGCTGTCATCGTCATGTCACTCACCTGGTGGGCGTCTGGTGGCGTTGTCCAGAGGGAGATGCGATGCCAACCTGAAGGCATCTGCCTCGATCTGCCAGCTGCTTCCTCTGCAAAGATATGGGCAATCAGTTTCCTCTGATTGACAGCCTCTGAAATCCCGCTGTAGCTCAGCTCTGAGTCAGTTAGGACTTTAACTTTTGACTACATTTATTAAAATGCACTCTTGCTCTTCCTTGCCTTTTTCTTCTCTCCTCTCCTCTCCTCTCCTCTCCTCTTTTCTCTCTCTTCCTCCCACCAGCCTGGATTCTTGGTGGCACAGTGGATTGAGCATTACACTATGAACCAGAAAGTTGGCTTTTCATTCTCAACAGGCACTTCAAGACAGAATGATGAGGCGGTCTCCTTCTATAACGTTTACAGCTTTGGGGACCCTTTGGAGTTGGGTGGCTAGAAGCTCTAGCAGCGTAGTCGGCAGGGAAATAACATAAAGGCAGCACACCAGCTGCCCCATGGATAAAAAGATGGAGAATCTCCACCCATGCTACTTATTGTTTTGTGCCACTGAGTCGGCTGGGCCTCACAGAAACCCTCTGGACAGCATATCTGAACCTGGTCTTATCCTGTGCCAGCTTCCTCACTATCTCCGATATACTTGAACTCATTGTTATAGGCACTGTGTAAACCCATCCTGTTGAGAGACTTCTCTCCTAAGCTGACTCTCTACCTTTCACAGCATGACATCCTTCTCCAAGGACTGGCTTCTCCTAACAATAAGCCCAACGGATGTGAGACGAAGCTTCACCAGCCCTACTTCCAAGGAGCACCCTGGTCACACTTTATCCAAGACACACTTGTTTGTTCTCTTGGCAGTCAAAAGAGATTCAATACTCTTCTCCAACACCACAACTTAAAGCCATCAGTTCTTCTCTGTCCTCCTTAGTCTAACTTTCAGATGCACAGCACATAATAAAAAAGGCCATGGCTTGGACCAGGTGCACCTTAGTCTTTAAACTGATACTCTTGCTCTCCAGCACTTTGGAGAAGTCCATCACAGTAGATTTTCCCAATATGTTATGTCTTTTGATTTCTTGACTGTTGGTACCAAGGGTGTTGCTTATGAATCCAAGTAAGATAAATTGTTGACAACTTCAGTCTTTTCTCCATCTGTCATGATGCTGCCTATTGGCCCAGTGCTACCTAGCCAATTGACTGGTGGTTGTTGTTGTTGATTGCCTTTGAGTGGAGCACGACTCCTAGAGACCCTATGAACAAAAGGTCTGAAGCTTTTCTGTAACTGTCGACATCTATCAAAGTTCATAGAGTGACTCATAGTGACCATATGAACAACAGATCTAAACCCTGTTCTATCCTGTGCCATCTTCAACATCTTTGACATAGTTGAGACCACTGTAGCAGTCACTGTGTCAATCCATCTGGTTGAGGGTCTTCCTCTCCTTCACTGACCCTCTACATTTCCATCAATTTTATTCCTCTCCAAGGAATAACTTCTAACAACATGCTCAAAGGATGTGAAACTAGGCTTTATCATCTTTGCCTCCAAGGAGTATTCTGACTGTACTTTCTCCAGAACATATCTATTTGTTCTTTACACCACAGCTCAAAGATATCAGTTCTTCTTTTGATGCGAAGCATGTGATTCAAAAGACCTTAATCATGTACAGCTTCATCTTCAATCTTTCTGGAAGAGATCCATAATTTTTGCCATTCTCAAAAAAAGGTGAATCAACATCAATGTGGAAACTATAAAATAATATTAATATCACATTCAAGCAAAATCTTGCTAAAGATTATGCAAAAATGACTAGTGCATTGACAGAGAGCTGCCAGAAATCCAAGCTGGATTTAGAAGAGGCTGTGGCACAGGGATATCATTGCTGATGTTGGATGGATCTTGGCTGAAAGGAAAGAATACCAGAAAGATGTCTATCTGTTTTATTGACTGTGCTAAGGTATTTGACTATGTGGACCACAACAAATTGTGGCTAACATTGAGTAGACTGGGAATCCTTGAATACTTAATTGTGCTCATATGTTTCTAGACCAAGACGCTGTTGTTCAAACAAAGCAAGGAAACATGAAATCAAGAAATGTGTATCAGGGCTGTTTCCTTTCTCCATACCTATTCGAACAAATCATGTGAGAAGTTGGACTTTATGAAGAACTGGAGGAAGATTTATGAACAACCTATGCTGTGTAGACACAAAATGAAGAGGACTTGAAATGCTTGCTGCATTCAGAAGATCAAAGACTACAGTCTTCAATATGGATTCCATCTCAACATCAAGAAAATTAAAATCCTCATCCATGTGATTTGCAACCTCCCTGAAACTTGCTGCATGGTCAGCTATGTGTGAGTTCTGACCTGATGACAGTGAGTCATATTGTCATGGCGACTATGGGTTGGAATTTACAAGAAAACACAAAAATATTTGTTGTTGTTATGTGCCATCAAGTTGGAATCGACTCAGAGCTGAATCTCCAGTTAGTTTTCATAGGGTGCAAATCAGATGGAAAGAGATTGCCCATTTTCCTCCCGTGGAGCATCTGGTGGGCTCAAACTACCTGCCACCAGGTTGGCAGCACATTCCCTTACCCGCAAGACCACCAGAGCTTTGTACTTAAATGGTTTTATTATTTCTTACTCTCTCATGTTGCTATGATTGATGATAATGTGTCACAGGGCAATCCCTTAGCAGCTTTGCTGAAGCCACAGATTTGGGCTGATCTTTTGACCTGTGCTTTGCTCTTTGAAAGAAGCTTCTAGAATCTTTAACTCTGTTCTTTTTCTGCACTTTCATCTGTAATTTGGAAACATGCATTTAAGCCCAGTGGTCTTCTTTTCCTAATTGCAGCTGTAAAGAAGAGAGTTCAGCTGTTGTCAAAAAGGAGGAACGGGTACTTCATGAATTGTTTGGAACAGACATAAAATGCTGTGCGAAAAACGAGTTGGGCCGGGAGTGTACCAAGCTGTTCACAATCGGTAAGACTGTGGCACATTGCTCACTCTTTTCAGTACATCACTATGGAACTGTTGAATACTAACAATATCTGTGTTGGTATTCAATCAACTTTAGAAACTCTACAGTTCCTTTATACAGTTTTAATTGCCATACTATAAATTCTGTCAATACTAGAGGGTATGTAAAAATGTAATCAATTCCTTTATGAATAAGCATGTGCTAGGTCACATTGAGGTGATATCCAAATTTCTTCCAAATGTTTAGGGTAAATGTCATGAGGAGGGGAAAACTGACTCTCTTACTTGAGATTTTTGTCAACTATTTTATTTTTGTTTGTGTCAAGGTTTGTTTAAAAACTGTTTTCTTTCTGTTTACATGAAAGCTTACAAATCAAATCATTTTTGTGTGATCACTCATATTTTGTTTTAGAATATGAATTGCCATTGATTAATGTAATTAAAATATCTGTTCCTTGTGCAATGCTTATCCCTTAACTCTACTTACCTGTTTATATATTTTAATTCCTCTCTCCCTTCCTTCCCATCACTATTATTCCTCCAAGACTGATTCTGTGTATAAATTTTTCTTTAGGTTTTTTATAGTGACCTTATACCTAAGTGTTCTTTTGTGACTGACTTATTCACTTAGCTTAATTTGTTCTAGTTTCATCCATGTTGTGCAGAATTCGTTTACTGAATTCTTGATAGCTTTTTAGTGATTTCCAATACTCCATTGTATGAATGAACCATAGCTTTTTCAACCACTCATCCATTGATGGTCACATGGGTTGTTTTCAATTCTTTGCTGTTGTGAATAATGCTGCGATAAATATGGATGTGGGCATGTCAGTTTGTCTCCCAACTATTATTACTATTATTTTGTATACTTAACAGTGGCTAAGTTTGCTAGCCCCATTACTCGGCATGTTTTTGTCTTCCAGATCTAAACACAACCCCTCAAACACCACCACCACAATTATTTCTTAAAGTTGGAGAGCCATTGTGGATAAGATGCAAAGCTGTGTATGTAAACCATAGATTTGAACTCAAATGGGAACTAGAAAACAAAACACTGACAGAGGTAATATGATAAATTTACAGTCTGATTGTACAGGATGAGTGAAATAAGAGTCTAGGCTGAAAACATTACATTCAAACTCTGTTTCATTAAAATCCAGGACAGCTTCTTTGAGATGAGTACCTATTCAACAAACAGAACTATGATACGGATTCTGTTTGCTTTTGTATCATCAGTAGGAAGAAATGACACTGGATCCTACACTTGTTCCTCTTCAGAGCATCCCAGTAAATCAACCTTGGTTACGATTGTAGGTAATGCAGACTGCTAATGCAATCTTTTTTTCATATCTTAAATTGTTTTAAGGTGGATTATGAGGTTTGTATAGGCAGTTCCAGGCTATGAACGTGATCTGTTCTTTTCTGTCTCTAAGTCGAATTTGTTGGTAAGTTGGGACAAGTACATGCAGTTCTTATTCAGTATTAGCCACTCAAGTCTTTTTGTTAGTGTATTGTGTATAATTTGATGTACCTAAAAAGGAGCTCTGGTGGTGTAGAGTGCTACACTGTTGTACTATCAACAAAAACCTTAGCAGTTCACTTTAGGGGAGCTCTGTTGGCCTAGTGGCAAGAAACTGCACTGCAATCCCAGAGGAACACGGTTCGAATCCACCAGATGCTCTGCCGGGGAAGGAGGCGCAATATCCTCCTGTACCAGTCAGATCTGATTTGACGGTACACGTACACAAAATTTAAAAAAAAAACCTTAGCAGTTCAAATCCAGCAGCTACTCTGTGGGAGAAAGATGGGCAGTCTCTTTGGTTACAGGTTACAACCTCACATACCCCATGGAGAGGGTCGCAGTGAGGCAGAATCCACTCAACAGCAGTGGGCTTTTACGCACCTAAACAGAGCTTGGTGGTGTATTTAGTGTTACATGTTGGGCTACTAAGCGAAAGTTTGGCGGTTTGAATCCACTAGTCACTCCTCAGAAGAAGATAGGCAGTGTGCTCCCATAGAGATTCACAGCCCGGGAAACCCAATGGATTATCAACATGACTGGGCCAGTGGGGTGAAGAACAGTAATTTCCTTTGATACCTTATGTCCTGGTATATTTTCTCCCCCTTCTTTTACAATGTAGTTCTTTTCAGGCATCTCTCCTACTTACTCCCTTCAAATGAGGCTGTCTCATCAGCATTAAATATTTTATCTGGTAAATAACCTGGTTCCTCAATAATTTCCCCCCAACATTTTGGGGAAAATGCTCACAGAACTTATGTTAGCCATTGCTGCCTTACCTTGCATTGTAATATTATGTAAATTTGCTCTCCCTTTGAAATTATTAAACCAGCATTTCACTAAAAGAAAAATTCCTCATCACAATCATTTTCATTGACACACAAGCAGCTTTTAAATCACTGAAAAGACACCGAAACTTTTCTTACACTAAAGTAGCATAACAACATCTTGTTTGACGCAATATATTGATTTTGATCATCTAAATACATTTTCAAGAGCCTTTTCCTTTCAATAATTAAACCACTTCATTGTGTAATAACAGCTATTATAGCTTCCACGGGGCAGAATCCTTCATATGTTCCATTATTCTCACTTTGGCCTTTAAAATTGTTCAGACGAGTCCATGAGACTATGGCTCTTAGTCACCATTCAAACCTAGAAAAAAACTGTGGTTCGACTTTCAGTCAAACAATGTTGTTGTTATTGTTAGGTGCTATCAAGTTGGCACAGCTCATAGAAACCTTATGAACAAAAAATCTGAACGTGGTGCTATCCTGTGCTGACCTCATCATCTCTGACATGCTCAGACCCATTGTGGTAGTTACTGAATCACTCTATATCATGGAAGGTCTTCCTCACTTTCACTGACCATCTACTCTTCCCTGAATGATCTCTCTTTCTGAAGACTGGTTCTTTCTGAAAATATGACCAAAGTAAGTGAGATGCAGTCTCACCGTCCTTGCCTCTAAAGAACACTCTGCTTCCACTTTCTCCATGACAGATTTATTTGTTCTTTTGGCAGTCCATGGGATATTCAGTACTCTTCCCCATTACAACAACTCAAAGGTATGGATTCTTCTTTTGTTATCCTTATTTCTATTGAACTTTCAGATGTGTAGGAAGCAATTGAAAAGACCCTGGTTTGTATCAGGAACACCTTAGTCTTTAAACTGACATCATTGCTCTTTAGAACTTTGGAGAGGTCCTTGCCAGCAGGTATCCCCAGTGCAACACATCTTTTGATTTCTTAACTGTTGGTACAAAGGTTGTTATTTGTGGGTCCAAGTAAGATGAAGTTGCTGACAACTTCAGTCTTTTCTCCTTCTATCATGATGTTGTCTATTGATCTAGTGGTGATGAACTTTGTTTCTTGATGTTGAGATGTAATCTATATTGAAGGCCATAGCCTTTGATCTTCTGCAACAAGTGCTTCAAGTCAAACAATAGACAAGTGTATGAGGTGACCAGTAATGCCACAAAAGTACTTACTCCTTAGAATAACAACCATGTAAAGTCCAAAGAGCAACATTTACCCAATGACAAAGCCTAGAAGGCAGGAAAAGGTGAAGTGGAAGGATTAATGGAAATGAGAATCACAGGAAGAAAGTGAGAAGCATGCTATTTCATTGTGGATAGTGCAATTAATGTGATGGAGCGAACAAAGTTTGTGTGAATAGTGGAACGAAAACCCAATTTTCTTTGTAAATTTTCACTCTAATAATAATAAAAAAGAAATAAATTAGCACCCAGCTGCTGACTGGGAGATCAGCTCTGGTAGGAGCTGAGCTGTGTAGTCCACAGTGAGTCACACAATAACCCCAAAGGGGAGCCTCTCTGGTAGTTTGAATCACCAGCCTCTCCTCAGAAGAAAGGTAACCAGTCTTCTCCCATGTGATTTACAGCCTCTGAAAATTTCCAGGCGGGTCAAATATAAATTATTTCCAACTTGATGGCAATGAATTTAAATTAATGGAAAATATTACAGAAGAACTAAGGCGGGGGAGGAAAGAGGATACAATAGAGAGTAAACCTTTTAACACTCCATAAAGAAATCCCATACGTATTAACAATCATATCCCAACATTCTTTGCTCCGTCATTGGCAGTCACTGTCAGGGACCTCTCCAAAGTATTGAGGAGCAATGATGTCAGCTTAAATACTAAGGTGTGCCTGATTCAGAACATGGTCTTTTCAATCACTTACAAGACATCTGAGAGTTGGACAACGAATTAGGGTTACAGGAGAAGAATTGACACCTTCAAATTGTTGGAGAAGAATAGTGAATATTCCATGGACTGCCAAAAGAGCAATCATAAATGTCTTAAAGGATGTGCATACAGAGTAGAGTGTTCCTTGGAGGCAAGGATGGTGAAGCTTTGTCTTACATACTTTGGGCATATTGTTAGAAGGGGCCATTCCTTGGAGAGGGACATCATGCTTGGAAAGGTGGAGGGTCAGCTAAAGAGAGAAGAATCCTTAATGAGATGGATGACACAGTGACTGCAGCATTGGGCTCAAGTGTGTCAGAGATGATAAGGATGGCGCAGGACAGGACAGGGTTCAGGTCTGTTGTTCACAGGGTGGCTATGAGTGGTACTCAACTCGATGACACTTAACAACAGCACAACTCTACTTTTTGTCTTTATATATTTCTATGTTCTGGTATTTTCATATAAATAGTTGTTGTATACCATTGAGTCAAAACCATCCCATAGCTGACCCTCTGGTGGGTTTTCAGAGGCAGTTAATTGCATAGGAGGAGATTGCCCATCCTTCTCCCATGAAGCAGCTGGTGGCCTCGAACCACGTGCCTTTGAGATTGCAGCACAGCTTCTTGCTGCTGGGCCACCACATCTCTTATAGAGTCCTTTTTTAAAAGATTATTTGTTGAGAGACTGTAGATTTCCCAACAACTGATGCTGTTTTACCTCTTACTGATCACTTTAGAGCACTCTGGGGACGTAGTCTGTAGAGAATTGTGCTGCTGACCCAAAAGTGGGCGCCTTCCTGGCAATTTGAATCCACCAGAAGCTCAAAGAAAGAAAAAGGCCAATCTCTTCTTGTGTGACTTACAGCCTCCAAAAGCCAGCTATGAGGAGGGCCAGCTATGAGTCAGGGCCAACTCAGTGGCAATGGATTTTAAGTGATTGCTTTATTTCTACTTTCTTTTCAGTCATATTCATGTCCCTTGTCTTGGGAGCCTCACTAGCACTTGCATCGATTTATGCTTTGGTCCTGTGGTTACAGGGAAAATTGAGAGGGAGATTTGAGCTGATACAAAGTTCCACACTCAACAAATAATTGGCGACCACATGATGCTGTTCTCTTTCCTTAAGCCAATTGAGAGCTGATGTCCTCTGGTGTGTTCATGAGCACCATAGCCATGCATGCACTGAGTTTAACTCAAATCTTAACATGATAGGCATTACAGCAGCCTTTTCTTAGAATCCAATGGTCCATAAGTAGTGTTTTCTTAAATTCCAGATCAAACCCACTGCCACTGAGTTGATTCTACTCCAGCTCTGCAGGACAGGCTAGAACAGCCCACAGGGCTACAGGGTCATGAATCTTTATGGCACAGACGGCCTCATCTTTCTTCTGGGGAGTACTGGTGGGTCCAAATATCCAATCTTTTGGTTCATGGCCTCGAGCTTAACCACTACACCACCGGGCCTCACCTGTCAACTTAGTATATGGTGCTTTCTAATGTCAACATAATGTTAATAGCAGAGAACTGGACAATGACTAAGGATGATAAAAGAATTGATGCCTTTGGGTTGTGATGCTGGAGAAGAGTATTGAATATACTATGGACTGCTAGGAGAACAAACAGTTCTGTCCTGAAGAGGGTGAAACCAGGCTGCTCCTTGGAGGCAAGGACTTTAAAACTCCATCTTACATACTTTGGCCAAGTTGAAAGGAGGAACCAGTCCTTAGAGAGGGACATCGTGCTTGAAAGGGTGGAGGGACATAGGGGAGCTCTGGTGGCCTAGTGGCAAGAAGCTGCACTGCAATCCCAGAGGCGCACGGTTCAAATCCACCAGATGCTCTGCCGAGGAAGGAGGGGTAATCTCCTCCTGTACCAGTCAGATCTGATTTGACAGTACACACGCACACACACAAATAATAAAAAAAATTTAAAAAAATAACAAAAGAAAGGGTTGAGGGACAGCATAGGAGAGGACGATCCTGGATGAGATGGATTGACACAGTAACTGGGGTAATGGGGGTAGGTGTGTCAGAGACAATGAGGTTGGCTCAAGATAGAGCAGAGTTCAGAGATGTTGTACATAGGGTCTCTATGAGTCTCAAGTGACTCGATGACACATAACAACAACAACAGAAAGCTGGAGGAGGAATTAAATTAGAACACTCACTGCTACTGATTCAACTCCAATTCAGAGCATCCTTGTACAACAGCGTAGAACTGCCCTATAAGGTTTCCAATGCTGTAATCTTCACTGAAGGGAGCTCGGGTGACCTAGTGGTAAGAAATTACATGGCAGTCTGAAGGCATGCTGTTCGAATCCACCAGCTGCTCTGCGGGAGAAAGATGATTCATTCATTCCATAAGATTCATTGGCTCTGAAAACCCACCGGAGGGTCAGCTGTGGGTCAGTTCTGACTTGATGGCACACAACAACAAAAACAACAATCTTCACCGAAGCAGACCAATTTGGATTATTGGAGAAGAATCCCGGGTGTCTCATGGACTTCTGCAGAGTGGCTGGTTTCAAAATGCCTGCCTTGTGCTTGCTCCGGCAGCACATATACTAAAATTGGAACGATACAGAGATTAGCATGGCCCCTGCACAAGGATGATATGCAAAATGCCTGCCTTTTGGTTAGCAGTTAATGCTTTGATCACTGTGCCACCCTGCTCCTTTGAATTAGCATTACTTTCCAAGTGTATGCTCCTGACTTCCTCCCTTTTCTAATTAAATTGTTCCTGTAGTAGTTGTAGGACAGAACTACCAGGGGGGCTTCCAAGACAGCCCACCTCATCTTTCTCCTGAAGAGCAACTGGTGGATTCAAACAGCTGGGCTTTTGGATAGCAGTCCAGTGCCTAATCCACTGTGCCACAAGGTTTCTCTTGACACTTACTATTCAGTGCTGTCACGTTGGTTCCAACTCATAGGGATCCTGCATCTAAACCCCTGCCTGATCCTGTGCCATCTGCACCATCCCTGCTGTGCTTTCACCCATTATTGCAGTCACTGTGTCGGTCCATCCCTTGAGGGGCCTCCTCTCCAGAGTAGACTGTTTTGCCAAGCACCATACGCTTCTCCAGGAGGGGGTGGTGTCATTATTATGTACCATCAAGTCAGAACTGACTCAGAACTGACCCTCCAGCAGGTTTTCAGAGGCTGTAGGTCACACGGGAGGAGATTGCTTATCCTTCTTCCCCAGAGCAGCCAGTGGACTCAAACCACAAGCCTTCAGGTTAGCAGTGCAGCTCCTTAGCACTTGGCCACCAGAGCTCCTTTAGCACCCAATAAATACTTGGGTTTTCTGATTCTAAAAATAGAAGGATAACTAATAAAACCTGTATGGGAACTCAAAGGGGAAGGGGTGGGAGCAGAGGGGTGAGGATGGGTAGGGGTGAAATCACAGGGTTGCACAAGTTGGTGGGTGGAGAGAGGGGGTAAAGGAAATGGGATGGATTTGGTGGGGACCTGGAAAGACAGGGTAATGATAGGCATAGTCCAGTGATGATTAATTTTAGAAAACATAATGCATGGAAATGATTGTATGAAACACAAACAATGTAAATGAAGGATAGTGTGAAACACAATATATACAAACTTTGTAAACAAAATAATGTAATTTAAAAAAAAAAACCCAACGGCTTGGCTTTTAAAAGAATCAACTGAGAACACAGTGAGCCATGACTGATGAACATGCATTTAGGCAAGTTGAAAATTGGGTGGATGAGCAAGGATTTGAAAGCAAACACATTAAAGTAATCTCAAATGAGGTTACAGATTTCAGCCATAAAGAAAATGCTAAAAAAACCCATAATTCTTTTTGCATGTGAAGAAGGAAGAGCTCTGGAAGGAAGCCTTGTAAAAATCCCAGCTAGGTAGCTTTTTAAGTCTATACCCTGGAGATTTTTTCAGCATGTAGAGATAGCTAAAAAACTAGCAGCAAAATGAAATCCACTGATATTGAGTAAATTCTGATTTCCTAGACTTTTACTCTTTAAGGAAGAAAACGGCCTCCTCTTGCTCCTTCTGGAGGGGCTGGTGGGTTTGAACTGCCAACCTTTCTGTAAGCAGCCCAACATTTGACCCACTACACCCCAGTAGAACTCCCTAATTGAACACAGGGGTCTCTAACCTGGGTCACTGGGTTTGTCCCTCAGTTATATTGCATTTTAAAATTGTATGAAACTTGGTAACTCTATGTATCCATTCTCTGGAAAAAAGGAGTTAATTATTTACACTTATCCTTAGCGTAATTTCTATTTCAAAAGGGTATAAATCCAGTCACTTTACTGAGAGATAGTCCTGTATTTTGTGTTGAACTATCAAATTATGTCTTCACTTCAATTTTCAAATTGATGAATAATGAATTGTCAAACTCGTGAATAATGTAAACACAGTCAAACTTGCAAAAGTCAGAACCTGTCAGAAGGAAAGCTTAGCTTCTACTAATAGTGGTTGTTGTTGCAGTAAATCACATGAGAGGAGCTTGACCATCATTTTCCCAAGGAGCAGCTTGTGGATTTGAACCACGTGTCTTTGGGATGGGAGCACAACGCCTTACCCACTAGGCCATTAGAACTTCCCTAATAGGGAACAACAGAAAAATAGTAAGACTACATTCTGAAGTACTAAGTCTGCACCCTATTAAAGGTGGAAAACTTGGGGAGACCGAAATAACAACAAAAAGGCAGACCCACCCAACTTTCAAATTACAGTGTTCAAGGGTTTCATTGTATTTTTCCACGGGAACCTCCTGATCTAATTTATAAATGTGTTTTGTTTTGTAACAGACAAGGGATTTATAAATGGCTCCAGGTCCAGTGAAGATTATGAAATTGACCAGTATGAAGAGTTTTGTTTTTCTGTTCGGTTTCAAGCCTACCCGCAGATCAGGTGCACCTGGACTTTTTCCCGGAAGTCCTTCCCTTGTGAACACAGAGGCCTTGATGATGGATACAGGTGAGGCTGCAAACAGCTTTTAGCGCTTGTTAGCCTTTTTAGCACAGCTCCCCTTCCCCTTCACTTTGGGAGGACTAGTTTTGCATTCGTGGAAATGATATCCTTTATGATGAGGTTACAGATGGAATTAAAGAACGCCTGGTTGCATAGAAGGTTAAATGTTGGATTGCTAATCAAAAGGTGGGTAGTTCAAGCCCAGCAGCCACCCTGAGGGAGAAAGATGAGGCAGTCTGCTTTCACTAAGACTTATGTGGCAGTGGTGTTTGGTGGCTCTGTGGTTAAAGCACTCAACTACTACCAAAAGGTTGGCAGTTCGAACCCACCTTAGGAAGATGTGATAGACTGCTTCTGTGAAGATTACAGCAATGGAAGCTCGATGGGGCAGGATCTACTGTGTCCTAATACAATTACTATGAGTCAGAATCCATTCAACAACAATAGAGTGAGTTTTGTTTGTTTGGTTTATTGGCTGACTTGAAATTGACGTGAGAACTAACTAATAGATGGGAATACACAAGCTACTGCCATCTAAGTGATTCGGTTAGTGTAACCTTCAACAAGGAAAACAGAATTCACACTAGTTGGTGTCATTTTCTGCATCACTAGATTGCTACTTCCTACATGACAGTGGGATCTGGGTGGTGCAGTGGTCAAAGGGTTTGGCTGCTAACCAAAAGGTGGGCAGTTCAAACTCATCATACTCCCTGGGAGACAAACGTGGCAGTTGGCTTCTGTAAAGATTACAGCCTCTGGGGAAGGAGACCCTCTGGGGAAGTCACACTGGCCTGTAGGGCCACTATGAGCCACAGCCAACTTGAATGCAGTGATTTGATATTTTTGATTACTTGCTACAGCCAACCAACCCTCCCTGAGCGCAGTTGCAGATGACTGAGGAAGTAAAACCCCTTAAACAGGAAAGCATCACCTCTAGGTGTAATGGTTTAAGTTTTCAAAAACCAAGACAATGCAGAAATAGCCCAATAGCAAATGCAGAAGGAACAGTTTGCTTCACTGGGGGTTTGTACAGCCACAGTCAAGGCTTTCTCACAGGAGAAATTCTTTTGGGAAAAACAAATAAGTAAACAACCAAACCAAACACACACAGAGAGAGAGAGAGACAGAGACAGGGAGAGGAGAGAGAGAGAGAGAGAGAGAGAGAGAGAGAGAGAGAGCAGTGATACCCGTTAGCTTGTAAACCATGTTCTGGGCACATGGTTGTGGGCTGCACTGTCAAGGCAGAGCACACGTGGGGCTTCTCAAGTCATCCTTTCTCCACACATGACCACACTGTGGAAGAATCACCTGGGCAAATATATATATATAAATTTTTTTTTTTTTTTTGTGTGTGTGTGTGTGTGTGTGTGTACTGTCAAATCAGACCTGACTGGTACAGGAGGAGATTGTCCCTCCTTCTCCAGCAGAGCACCTGGTCGATTTGAACCAGACGCCTCTGGTATTGCAGTGCAGCTCCTTGCCACTAGGCCACCAGAGCTCCCTTCTGGCCTGTTTTCAGACATGTGAAATCACATTTGGAGTGAAGCACCCAGGTTTTATATTTTTTTAAATTTCTAGATAAAACTATTCTTTATTTTTTTGAGTAGTTGTTAAGGGTCCAGATTTCCTAGGCCTCATTTAAGGAAATCATCTCTAGACTTGGGGACCTTTTTGCTCTTCATCTGGTGCAGGAAACTCCACCACATACGATCCTGGCATTCATCATCTTGTCGAGCTCTTCACGTGTTCTTCAGATCAGAGAAATCAGAGATTGTCAACATTTTCTGGGTCAATAAAACAAGGTGTGGAATCAGTAGATTTGATGGAGATCTGATTTTTCTCGTCACACTGGATTTCTAGGCACCATTTGGGTTGAGTTGAGAAGATGGGGAAGTAGAAGCATTTCTTGGCCTGAGTCTCTCAACAGTGGAGATGTAGAAGGGGGAGAGAGACCCCAAGGAGACTGGATGTGCACTTCTGGGGACCCCACTTCTCTTGCACGTGGTGTTGGGTGACTGTGTGGCACCTGAGGTATACTTGGAGGAATTACTAGATTGTGGCACGGCAGTTGTAGTATTTGAATAAATCTGCGTGGGGAGGAGCAGCTTGAGGAGCAGCACTCCAGTCCAAGCCTGCCCCCATCGCTCTGCCCGTGTCTGCTCCTTTTAGAGATCCTTTGACAATTCCCACTATAGGACTAAGGGAGCTCTGGTGGCCTAGTGTAAGAAGTTGCACTGCCAGCATTAAGACTTGCTGTTCAAATCCATCAGCTGCATCGCAGGAGAAAGACAGGCAGTCTCCTCCTGTGCAGTTTACACTCTCTGAAAACCTACAAGGATCAGCTATGAGTCAGTTCCAACTCAGCTGTACATAACAACAACATTATGAGACTAAGGCACTCTAGAGGCCCAGAGGTTAAACCGTTAGCTGCTAACTGTCTTTAGTGATTCCAACCCATCTTCAGTTCCACAAGAGAAAGCTGTGGCAATTCACTTTTGTAGAGATTAAGTCCCCTGCTGTTATAGAAATTCTAACTCAGTGACCTGGAGGACAGAGTAAAACTGCCCCACAGCGGGGTCCAGGGTATATATTTTTATGCAAGTAGACTGCCACATTTTTCTCCCAGGGAGCAGCTGGTGGATTTGAACCACCCATCTTTTGGTTAGCAGCCACATGTTTTGGCCATTTCTGCTCTGTGCTGTAGGATCACCATGAGTTGGAATTGACTGGACAGTGGTGGGTGAGGATAGGTCTGCATACAGGTCTGCCCAGCACAATTGTCACCAGAAGGGGTGGGGGAGAGCCTGGAGCACTGGTAAATTGAACTAGTTTGAACAGAGATGCATTGTAAGGATGAAAACACTGGTTTGTTAAACACTTTGTGTGGGAGGGAAAACACACCATCTTGTTAATGGTTTTATATTGGCTACAAGTTGGGAAAAAAAGCCATTGTTACTATTAGTGTCACCTGTTCCTTTTTACTTTTCTGTTTGGCCACATAGACGTTTTCCAGCTGTATCTGTCACTTGCTTTTTGCATTCCTGCTGGAGAACACTGGTCTAGGTGACAAGTCAAAGTTAAGGGCTGGTCACTTTGCTTCTTGTTTTTTTCGTGGTTAGTGTGCTGTTCTGCATATTCAAAACTCCTTCTTGTAAGTGATCTTCATGAAGCTCTGGACTACTAACTGAAAGGTTGGGGCTTTGAACCCACCTAGTGCCCCCTGAACAGTAAGCCAAGGGTTGTAACCTTAAAGCTTTATGGAGTGGAACCCAAAGAGGAAGCGAGAAGAGTGCTTTTACATTGAGGCAGTTACAACCAATGTCACAAAATGCAATGTGTGTAAATTGTTGAACAGAAAATGAGTATGGTTTTGTACTCTCACCCAAACCACAACTGGTGGGGGAAGGTAATTGACAACCCACTGTTGTCAAAACAACTCTGACTCAGTGACCCTCAATGTGCTTCAAACCTACCAACTGCTCCAGGGGAGTAAAGTATGGCAGTCTGCTCCTGTTACAACCTTGGAAACCACTGGGCAGTTCTGCCCTGTCCTTGGGGGTTACTGGGAGTTGGATGGCAGTGAGTGGGCCCTGTGCATTGTGGGATGCTTAGCTGCACCTCTAGCTTCCATTCATTGGATGCCAGTATCAGTTGAGACAATGCAAAATGTCTCCAGATATTACCAAATGTCCCAGCAAGCCAGGTCACCCCTCAGAAAGGCTGAGGACCAACACAGCCCAAGAGGATTCACCATGGAGCCAAAAGCTCCTGCCCAGGATCACCAGACTTCAGAAAATGAAGCTCAAGGTGCCAGCCCGTCTCCACCTAGGTGCACTGACTGCTGCGACCTGATGGCTGTGTTCATAAGGGTACCAGCAATTGTATTATTCCTCCCTTTCTTGTGACTGTGCCCTGGGATCAGATAAACTTACAGTAGTGTGAAAATAGGGAGCTCCTGTGGCTTAGGGGCAAGAAGCTGCACTGCAATCCCAAAGGTATGCAATTCAAGGTCACTAGCTCCTCTGTGGGAGAAGGATGGGCAATCTCTTCCCATGTGATTAACTGTCTCTGAAAACCTGCTGGAGGATTAACTATGGGTCCAGTTCCGACTCTATGGTACACAACAACAGTGTGAAATGATCTCTTTTAAAGAGTATTTTGTTGAGCTTCCCATAAAACATTTACACAACAGTTTAGGTTCCCATTCAATGCTTCCTGCAGAAGTCATTCAGTGACATTGTCCACAGTGGGGGAACCTTCTCATTATTTCCATTTGAATGATCTTATGTCCATTTATCTGCTTTCTCTGTCCCTTACATTTCCTTTCCTTTTTTTTAAGTAATTATTGACTATTAGGTCTCATAAAGGTGTTTTTTTTAAAAAAAAAAAAAGAACACAAACAAAGCACAGAAGTTTGGGGCAATATTTGTTGTGATTTTTAATTTTTTTAATTCAGTGTTTTTTGGGTGTGGTGGGGTTTGGTTTTTTGGGTTTTTTTATCCAATTTCTTTTTTTATTAATGTAATTTTTTTTTACATTTTATTATCTCTGTGTGTGTGTACCGTCAAATCGGATCTGACTGGTACAGGAGGAGATTGTCCCTCCTTCCCCGGCAGAGCAACTAGTGGATTCAAACCGTGCACCTCTGGATTGCAGTGCAGCTTCTTACCACTAGGCCACCAGAGCTCCCCTTGATCCAATTTCTTCTTTAGCATCTCTCCAGGGTTTGACAAGTGTCTCCGGGTAACAGTTGCATGGAGTTCATTACTCCCAGCTGGTCCAGCAGGGCTAGTTTCTTGGGTGGTTTTTATTTGTTTGTTTTTGTTTTAAGAAACTTTGAAGTCTGTTTCACCATTTTCTCCTATTCTGTCAGGACCCGTGTACTGTAACCTGATTAGAACATACAGTAATGATAACTGGGCACCAACTATTTCCTCCTGGTGATATGGGATTCTTGTTTGAATCTGATTCCAATAGGGGAGATGTTAAAACAATTTCATTTTAAA